AAACTGTTCCCTCAACGGAAAAAAATACTTAACACACTTTAACTAAACATATAAACCGACATTATTATTACTGGACTTCCTACACGTAAGCCTCACGTTTTCAAGTTTGTCCACACTATAATCCGTTTCCATCCTCGCCATCGTTAATCATCCTCACTTGCTAATGGGTTGCTGTCATGTGTCAAGTACGGTATTTGACAAATGACAGCAATTCATTAGCACGTTCTACAAAAAGTTCTACAAAATCAAACCATTTAAATATTACTGGACTTGCTACAATTAAGCCTCGCTTTTTCAAGTTTGTCTATTTGGCAATACATTTCCATCCTCGCCATCGTTAGTCATCCTCACTTCCTAATAGGTTTCTGTCATTTGTCAAGTACCGTTCTTCAAAATCAAACCATTATTGTTGGTTTTCCAACACGTAAGGCTCCCATTTTCAAGTTTGCCTTTTTGGCAATCCTTTTCCATCCTCGCCATCGTTAGTCATCCTCGCTTCCTATAGGTTTCTGTCATTTGTCAGGTACCGTTCTACAAAATCAAACCATTATTGTTGGGTCTCCTGTGATGTAGGTACGTTATTGAACTTCTACTATGATATCATGCTAAACATAGATTACAATACTCCTAAAGGTGCTACGTCACAGATGGCGCATCTTGAAAAAAATGGCCAATTTTTTCAAGTTCGCCATTCGCAATCCATCTTAATCTTCTCCATCCCCAACCATCCTTGTTCCTGTTTGGTTTATCATTACATCTTTGGTGTTTTTCTATCTTAGTTAACTATTATTTTGAGGCTTTCTTCAATTTGAAGGTAACAAAATTACTTAAAATATCGTGACATAGCTCCTTTAAAAGTGCTACGTCACGGATGGCGCATCTTGTCAAGTTCGTCGTTCGCAAACCATCTCAGTCGTAACCATCCTTGTTCCTTTTCGGTTTGTCATTACTTTTTCGGTGTGTTCCCACGTCCATGACAGACAAACTCGATCGTCTAGTACCCTGGACATACCCTTTTGCCGCCTATCAACTGGTCAGCGCTCTTTTGCTTACAGAGGGGCAAAACTCTGGAATTCCTTAACAGTAATATTAAGTCTTTAAAATGTCCTAAGAATTTTAAGCGTCATCTTGCTAATTTGTTATTAGATTAATTTCCTACATTTGTAATATTTTTAATATATTTATTGTAATTACTATATTATTGTATTTATATTCTTAATTAATTTAAATTTGTATTTGATGCTGAAAAACCCACTTAGGGAGCTTCAATAAAGTATGTATGTATGTATGTATGTATGTTTGTCTAATTTGGTAAACTATTATTTGGGTATTTCCTTCAATTTGAAAGTAATTTTGTACATAAGAAAAATGAATTAAAAAATCGTGACACAGCCCCTTTTAATAACAGGAAATAATCGGTTTTCCCAACGTCCTACGCGGCCTTCATCTTCCACGCCCATGACTCCGCTAGTTTCTAATTAGTGTGACACTGGAAACCAATTTGGAAAGCCGCTGAAAGGTGTTTAAAACAAGTCCTGGAAGTTTCCGTCAAATTTACAGACGTTTGTATGACTTTTATATCTGGGTGGCAAAAATGCCATGAGCCATGCATACAACCTTTCGTTGCAACGTTTGAAGCAGGTTTCAAGCCGTTTCCTTTCAAACTTGGGACGATAACACAATTTTGCATGCTCTTTCTAGTTATATGATATTTGTTTTTAAATCGGATGAAGTTCAAAATTTGATTTGTAAATAATGACGTCATCAAAGATCGGCCCTACACACGGTACCTCCATGAGTAAGCGGCCTTAACCCTTTCACTCCCAAAGTCAAACCTTATGCCAATTAACACAAACTAAATTACAATTCTGTGGATGAAACCCTAGTGTATGACCATTCAAATGAAAGTGTTTTTCCGTATCTTGCAAAATGGGTTAATTATAATAATGAGCATCAATCCTGTCTGTTACCAAACATGACACTAATGAACAAATGTTTTACAACTTGACTGTTGCGTGTGTTTTTCTTTGAGAACAACAGGATTTACATACAGTTAGGTTATTAAATTTCAGATCGCCTCTTGAGATTGCTGTGGAGTACAAACTTGTTAAATGTAAATCGCGGTTAATTAAGAAAATAAAAATGTATTCTACTGCATAAAACATTCGATTATTTCTATGTATCAGTAATCACCACTTATCTAGGCAGCTTTGCGCATAAACCTTTTTTAAACTTGTGTATTTATTAAAATAAATACATAAGTAATGAGGCTGAACGAATGAGATTCGACGCGACCAACGCAATACTGTGAGTTAGCATGATTTTAAACTTTAAAAACCATGCCTTGAGCCATTGAATCTGAACAAATTGATGTCCGTATCATAAAAAGCGCTGTTTTTAAAAATGGTAAGTGTAGTGATTTCGCTGTATTTCTTTTTTTATTATTTGTAGTTTTCTTCGTTTTAAATTTTGTAGCTGGGATCGGTGAAATCTCTAAAAAGTAAGTTACTCACCGATGAATAAGACCATATATAAGAGATACAGTCAATGTCATGTTTTTAATTATAATATTTTACGTTGTGCTAAACATAATTTATAGAAAGCGTTTTTATAACGCTCACGAGTTCGAAACATTGTTCAAAAGAGGTTATTTGATTTATACCAATTAAAGGATTATGTTGGATCTCCAGCAATTAGCCGAAAACACAGTCGGTTTTTCTGGCTATTTTTCTATTTGATCGTAGTATGCTCGAGTAATAGATTATTTATTTACGTATTTTTGGTCCTGTTTAAAATAATTGCGTTGCTCAAGGCAACGATATGGTGACGGCGAATTCCTTGGATTGCGTGGCAATAACCGCTGAAAAGAGGAAATGAATTAGTGGACAATAAAATGCTATACAATGAGAAGAAGTCGGCAATTAACCCAAATTATAGTTTTTATTTCATTGCTTCTAAAAATATCAATTATTTTTTTAACAGCCTGCTAAGATTGGAAAGGAAATTGAAACTAACACCAAATTGGTACTTAACAGCTTTTTTGTTGGCAATGTTTAGAAATATTTAGCAATCATGAATCGCATTGAAATTTAAAGGTAATCACACTCATTACTGGTGAAGATATAGTTGTGGTCTCGAGAACACGGCAACCGAGGCTCAGTGTACATTATTAAACCCTTTCACTCCCAGAAGCAAGCATCAAGTCCAATTCTGATTGTGTTTCTAACTTTTACGTATGTGGATGAAACCCTAGTGTGTGACCATTCAAATGAAAGCTTATGAGCAGTGCTGTAATGTGGTACTGTTTGTTTTTTCCATATCTTCCAAAATGAAATTTGAGATTTTATATTTCAATTTTGAGCTTTGACACTCTCATTGTGGTCGATGCCGGGCTTTCTTCCTGTGTTCTGTGTTCCCTTTACCCGATAATATCTCTTTCGCGGAAATTGTAAACTATTTTATTCTATATTTTGAAACATTTCATCACAATGATCGACCGGGGAACACAGTAATCAACCAGAGAAAGCTAAGTTTCGGAAAATTTCCATGTCAACTTTAATTTCAAGGGAATCACCTTTATAAATGATACGCGCTTCTTTGAAACGATTACTGAACTGTTAGTTGCGGTGAAAAAACTTCAGCCGCAATTTTCCTTTTGAAACCAGAACAAGAAAAATAATTAAAAATGATTTTAATCATTTTATTTTAAAAACTAACAAACGAAGATTAAAACGGAATTGAATCTCATGCAGCCTTCTTCACGACTGAGGTACGAAGTCAATACGAGGATCGCCGACTGAGGTACGAAGTCAATACGAGGATCACCGACTGAGGTACGAAGTCGATACGAGGATCGCCGACTGAGCTACGAAGTCAATACGAGGATCTCCGACTGAGGTACGAAGTCGATAGGAGTAGCCCTCGGTTTTCGTAGTCGCCGCAAATTTTTTTTTCTACAGGGTTGTCACAGGTAAGGAAAAAGTCAGGGGAATTTCAAGGCCAGGGAAAAGTCAGAGAGTTCAATGCTTCGTCAGGGAAATGCTAAATTTCTTGTCAAAGGCAGGAAAAGTCTGGGCAAGTTTTGAGAATAGTGTTGTTGATATAACGACCGTCTTATTATGGTCAATGAAAATTGTTTTCCGCAAAATAAATTAAAGCAAATTTAAGCGTAAATTGGCTGCTTCTCATGATCACAGGGGAAGGGGGGGGGGGGGGGGGGGGACTGTAATTCTGATTGTATAATAAGAATCAGTAACTATTCGGTTACGCATACGAGGATTCTCCCAGACTTTTCGTGATTCTTTCGTTCGGTTTCTTATTTAAGTTTAAAATGTTTTACTAATAATGTTAATTCTGATGTCTGATTTCGAGACTTGAGGAAGTGTTCAAAGTCCTTTCTAGTCATTATTTGAGATTCTTTTATGCATATGTTTATCATATTCCCCTTTGTAACAGACCTGATGAAACCCGACATGGCGAGTTATTTTGCCCTCCCTTGTGAATTTTGACCTTCCTGGTCCTGGTAGATTCTAAAATATTCCCTGAGTTGTAGTCTATCCCTGGTGTAAAATTTAAACTCCTTGGTGGAGTTAAAGTGCCCCTGTGATCAAATAGCAGTTATTACAGTTGAGCCCCGCAGTCAAATATTCTTTTGTTTTTAAAAAGTATGCAAACGAGTTAGGCTCGATTTCCGCCGCTCTCTCGAGTCCGGTCTTCGTTGTGGCTCATCTTCCCGAACAGCGGTTGGTAATCGAGCCTACAAATGAGGCTAATGGGCCAATACAATGCCAGATTGACCCTTTCGCCTCGTTTGCATGTCAAGCCGCTGACATCTGTAATAACTGCTATTGTCGATATTCATATTTTTACATTTTCGTGCACAATACGACTTTCTCACTCATCTTGCCAAATTTCAATCCATTACGAACATTGGAAGTCTATTTGTTGGACTTTTTCCCCCGAGATTTTACGGCCACCATTACTTGAACAGTGCTCTCCAAGGCTTCATTGCTCAGTTAGTAGAGCATCGTACCATGCAGTATCGTGAAGATCGTGAGTTCGAATCCCGCTGTAGCCTTGAAATTTTTTCAGGCTAAAAAAGCAATTGCTTAAATTGCTTACACACTGCGAGGATCAATTCATTCATTTCAGTGGTATGCGTATTGGGAATATTTTTAGGAATTGAAACTTCAAAGACTTTGCAACTGTCGCGAAAAGTGTGGTTGTTAAGAAATTATTAATATTAATGAATGAGGTTGCGTGAGCTTGTTTTAAATGAGATTCGTTGTGAAAGTGTTAAAGGAGAAGTCAATCATTAAAATGTATATGAATTAGCTTCTAGAGTCGATTCTTGATGATGCATACACACAATGCGACTGCATTGTAGATGTGCTTGATGATTTCAGTTCAGTTAAATGATAGAAGATGAAGTTTAAATTGGTACTGAACATGTGCCAGGATGCTCTTTACTGTTAACTCTTTTACAACATTTCCAAGCTATTCTCTCCTCAATATGATGTATTATTATACGACATAGCATTTTAGAGTGCGAATACGCACCAAAACGAGTGCAAATATTAGACCATATTCAACGGGTCTTAGTCCTCCTGACCGCGCGCTAGGGAAAATTTTTGAAAGCCTATATTTTAGGAAAGAATAGCCCTTTTCACGGTTAACCTGAAATATTTGCATAACAATAGAGCTAAACATAGAAGCGAGGCAATTTCGGGCACAAGCTGTAAAACATCGTGATTTTCTTGAGCTCCTTAAACTATGTTAGCATAAAAATAGTTTTAAAACGGAGAATAACTAAATATGCAACTATTTTAGTTAAAGTTTGCCGTAAAGATCGTAATCCGATCTCCCTGTTGCTTGTGCGAGTCTACTCTTTATTAATAGAGAAAAGTGACAACACAAAACAACGTAAACTAAAATAATTGTAGTTCTTCTACATTTCAAAACTGTTTTTATACTAAAAGAGTTGAAGGAGTTCAAGAAAAACACGATGTTTTGCAGCTTGTGCCCGAAATTGCCTCGCTTCTATGTTCAAGTGTATTGTTATGCAAATATCGCAAGTTAACTGTGAAAAGGGCTATTATGTCGTATAATAAAGGCTCGAAAAAATAAAAACTTTCCGCTGAATAACCTATATATATCAAGCACGTAAGACAGCAGTGTTTCATCTGATTTCCAAACACCGAGAAGAGAGTTGAAAATCCCTGTTGAAAATACGACGCGCAGCCTCAGTATAACTTGATGAGATTATTAATGAGCTTGAGAAGTAATATATCAAACACTCCAGACAGTGTTTCATCACATTTCCAAACACCGAGAAGAGAGTTGAAATTCGAGTTGTTTGGAAATGTGACGAAACACTGTCTCGAGTGTTTATATCTTCTCAATCGAAACTAAAACTAAAGCCTGGTTTCCATATGATCGCAACGATCGCAAGAGTGGTTTCCATATGATCGCAACGATGGCAAGAGTGGTTTCCATCAGAGGTCTATAACTAGAGGTTTCCATCTAGCATTGCGCGCGGCCCATCAGATTCGCAGTTAGGCTATTTTTAGACATTTTTCGCGCGAAACCAGCAGCCAATCACGCACCATGCCTGACAGATATGGTCAGTGAACGCGCTAGCTCGACAATTTTTGTTCAAGGCGGTTTGTTCGTCGATTGAAAAGATGGCTAAAATTATGAAGTAAAAAACCATGGCCCTTCTAAATCAAACAAAAGTTAATTCTACTAAATAATGCACGAAGTTTGGAACGAAATATTTAATGGGAAATACCTGTAAAATGTACAACTAATGCGACTGAAAGAGCACTAAAGGCAGCCTGAAATTAATTTACGGGAAAATCAGATCCGAAAACCGCGGACACAATTAATTCGTCCAAAGAATGAAAACCCGTTTACAACACAAGTTTAAGCTTAGTCTATTCAGTATTGTTACCTTGTATTTCGAAGAGGCTTGTCAATTCCAGCTGAATTAAGTTTTTAAAATAAGCACAATAAATATCCATGGATCAGATATAAAGCTTAACTTATACGGCAGTTAGTCAAGCGTTCGTGACTGTCAACCATTCAAAGATCACTTCACAGTGAATTCTCTTCGAAGACCACTCTCTTTCTTTCCATCCATGTAGATATTGAGGCTTTCCTTTGTACTTTTACTTCAATGAACTTGATTTTAAGCTCAGTTCGTTTCAACGCTTAATTCTGTAGTCGCGCAAGTTTTGCCCGCCGTATAACTTACATGTAAACAAGTGAAGCCTTCCGTTCAACTTGTAAAATAGTATAATGTTCAGCTCCACAATTATTTCGAATCTTCCCATGTTAAGCTAAACCATCTGCACAATTTTCCAGAATACACGAAACTTTGGAGAGATTGAGCGAAGGGTAATCCGCGGAGAAAACTTTGTCTTGCCTTCTTTTCATTCAACGTTAACTTGCCAACCGTGGACACCGCGCACGAAGTTTTGCCGCCGAATTCATACAAATCATGCTTCATTTAGATTGAACTGAAAAATCACTCAGTCGATTTATAGTATACCGAAGTTTGACCTAAATTTAGTGAAGTATTTAAACAATTATTACATTCTGCTGTGACGCTTTTCGCTTTTACTTGGCCGGCAAAGTTTCTGCCTTTGCGTAGCGCTCGCATATCATTAAAAATGGTTCAACGTGATTGGCTGCTGGTTTCGCGCGAAAAATGTCTAAAAATAGCCTAACTGCGAATCTGATGGCACAAGACCCAATACCAGAGATGGAAACCTCTAGTTATAGACCTCTGTTTCCATATAATCGAGCGATCGTTGCGACTGCGATCGTTGCGATCATATGGAAACCAGGCTTAAGAAGCAAACAGAGAAATGAAATCGTAAAAATCTATGCTAATTAAGATCAGATATCCAAACCTCCATCACGGTTATGATTTCATTTGTTATAACTTGATGAATAATTAATGATTTGAGAATACATTGTCAAGTACACGTAAGTGGATGGCGAGACGAAACAACATCAAGGAGACGGGGTCTTGATGTACCGGTACGGCTCTTGATTCTCAGAACTAACATTGAAACAAATTTATGGCATTCGTATTTGACGAAGACTGGCGTCAAAAATCACGTGTTAAAGGGAGGGTTTCATGGCTCGACGCATGTCCATAAATAAAATACTTTGTTCACCTGTGCACGCTTTATGGCACAAGTCTATTTAATTGCATTGTTTATGAACCAATCGGAAGCGAGGAGTTAACTCGGGTGCGAAATTAAAGAATTTTACAGCTATTTGCATAATTGTCGCATGCAAATACTCTAAAATCATCAACTGTGGAATAAATCCTACGGGTCAACACTAAATTCCACGGTCGACTGCGTCGGTGTAATCCACTGAAATCTTCTGTGAATTTTGGTCATCCGTCGTTCTGCTACGACTAATTATAATATGTGATTACTGAAGTACATGTGAGTGGGGTTTTTAAAGCGATAACATTGATAAGAAAGCGAAAAAAGTATATTTTGATTTATGGACATGCGCCGAACCGTGAAACCCTCCCTTTAAGTAAAATTCGTGCTAAAAAAAAACAAAAAGTTTATTTCAAATTCATTGGGTTTTTATCTGTGCGGCGTTAGAAACAATGGCCAGGGAGTCACGAAAGAAGCTCCATTCTTTATAATATTTCAAAAACTCGCGTGTTCTACATAAAACCAAAATAAGTAAAATTCTTACTGAAAAACCAACAAGTCCATTCTTTTGGTTTTATCCGTGCCGCATTAGATATAACGGCCAGGTGTCTTGAGAAACTAAGTACTTCAAACACTTGCGTGTTCCACAGAAAACCCACAAATCCATTGTTTTGGTTTTATCCGGGCCGCATTAGATATAATGTCCAGGTGTCACGAGAAACCAAGTACTTCAAACACTTGCGTGTTCCACAGAAAACCAAAATAGGCAAAAAATTCATACTCAAAAAACCATTAAGTCCATTCTTTTGGTTTTATCCGTGCAGCATTAGATATAACGGCCAGGTGTCACGAGAAACCAAGTACTTCAAACACTTGCGTGTTCCACCATAGTCAATAGAGGGAAATGGTTATGAAGCCCGGCAAACTTCAAAGGAGCAAACAAAGAGGCCAAGATTTATGTTGGAAGGTCCATGATCCTGTTCATCGTTTGTTTTGCGCTCATACACTATGCATGAATTACGTAATCCGAACGTTTCTATTGGTTAGTTGCTTGAACACACGTAACCACCTATTGTATTTTGTCAGGTTTTGTGCACGGTCAACCCCCAAAATAGCGAACAAAAACATATAACAAAGAACCAAGAAGTCCATTCTTTTGGTTTCATCCGTGCCGCAGCCGTGTCGCATTAGATATAACGGCCAGGAGTCACGAGAAGCGTCATATTTCAAAAACGTGCGTGTTCCACAGAAAACATAAATTCATTCTCACTAATTTCCGTGTGTATACTTATTTCGCGAAATCGACAGATCCGTATTTCCCGAGGCTTTATTTTCGCGATTTCGGAGTAAAGAAGAGCTCAAAGGTTTCAAATTTTGCGAAAATATCGCCTTTTTTTTTTCCTACATCGCGAAAAACTGGTAAGTAAAATTCGTGCTTAAAAACCAAAATGTTCATTTTAAATCCTTTGGGTTTTTATCTGCGTCACGTTCGCGTTAATGGAAAGGGAGTCATGAGATATTCCATAGCACTGAGTGTCTATATATAAATTGCTATCATTGTTGTAAAGTTTCAAAGTCGAAAAAAGTGTTAAAGGAGTTACGTCATGGATGGCAAATCTTGAAAAAATTGGCCAATCTTTTTAAGTTCGCCGTTTGCAATCCGTCTTAATCTTTTCCATCCTCAACCATCCTTGTTCTAGTTTGGTTTATGATCAATTCTTTGGTGTTTTTCTACCTTAGTAAACTATTATTTTGAGGCTTTCTTCAATTTGAAGGTGATTTTGCACTTCGCAAAAATGACTTAAAATATCGTGACATAGCACCTTTAACAACAACTGCTTTTGTTCTCATTTCTCTCAGGTACGTGGGTCTCTGTTGTTAAAGAGGAGAT